TAAAGAGAGGTGTTGTTAAATTGTGTGTTTAATTGGGGTGTTGTTTAGTGTATTTGAACCTCTTCCACAGGGAATATTTCTTTTGGCGTCGTGGGTAATCGTTTCACATTTTCTCTCTGTTTTCAACGTCTAAGCGTCAACGTCGTCTTGGCAGGAAAGTTCCACAACTTGAGTATGAATTGTCTTGGTGGTGTTGTGTTGTTTGGTTAGTCGAGTTGTTTGGGGTTAAATTGCAGGAAAGTGAACTAACGAACGGATTAGATGCTAGTAATTAAATTATAATTTTTAATTAAAATATCCGGTCGCAAATAGTCTAGACTCTTTGGTAAAAAAATCTAAAATTATCGAAAATTATCAAAAATTCAAAAATCCGAATTTCTTAAATTTCAACATTTGTTTCTCTCTTTTATAGGATTTAGCTTTATTCTTTTTGTGCTTTTGGAAAATACTTCACTTATTAAATAGTCTCGACTCTTTGGTAAAAAATCTAAAATTAACGGAAATTTTCAAAAATTCAAAAATCCGAATTTCTTAAAATTCAACATTTTTTCCTCTCTTTTATGGAATTTAGCTTCATTATTTTTGTGCTCTTGGAAAATACTTTACTTATTAAATAGCCTCGACTCTTTTGTAAAAAATCTAAAATTATCGTAAATTATCAAAAATTCAAAAATCCGAATTTCTTAAATTTCAACATTTGTTTCTCTCTTTTATAGGATTTAGCTTTATTCTTTTTGTGCTTTTGGAAAATACTTCACTTATTAAATAGTCTCGACTCTTTGGTAGAAAATCTAAAATTAACGGGAATTTTCAAAAATTCAAAAATCCGAATTTCTTAAAATTTAACATTTTTTCCTCTCTTTTATGGAATTTAGCTTCATTATTTTTGTGCTCTTGGAAAATACTTTACTTATTAAATAGCCTCGACTCTTTTGTAAAAAATCTAAAATTATCGAAAATTATCAAAAATTCAAAAATCCGAATTTCTTAAATTTCAACATTTGTTTTTCTCTTTTATAGGATTTAGCTTTATTCTTTTTATGCTCTTGGAAAATACTTCACTTATTAAATAGTCTCGACTCTTTGGTAGAAAATCTAAAATTAACGGGAATTTTCAAAAATTCAAAAATCCGAATTTCTTAAAATTCAACATTTTTTTCTCTTTTGCGGAATTTAGCTTTATTATTTTTGTACTCTTGGAAAATACTTTACTTATTTTATAGTCTCGACTCTTTAGTAAAAAATCTAAAATTATCGAAAATTATCAAAAATTCAAAAATCCGAATTTCTTAAATTTCAACAATTGTTTCTCTCTTTTATAGGATTTAGCTTTATTCTTTTTATGCTCTTGGAAAATACTTCACTTATTAAATAGTCTCGACTCTTTGGTAAAAAATCTAAAATTAACGGAAGTTTTCAAAAATTCAAAAATCCGAATTTCTTAAAATTCAACATTTTTTCCTCTCTTTCATGGAATTTAGCTTCATTATTTGTGTGCTCTTGGAAAATACTTTACTTATTAAATAGCCTCGACTCTTTTGTAAAAAATCTAAAATTATCGTAAATTATCAAAAATTCAAAAATCCGAATTTCTTAAATTTCAACATTTGTTTCTCTCTTTTATAGGATTTAGCTTTATTCTTTTTGTGCTCTTATAAAATACTTTACTTATTTAATAGTCTGGACTCTTTAGTAAAAAAATCTATAATTATCGAAAATTATCAAAAATTCAAAAATGTGAATTTCTTAAAAATGAACATTTATTTCTCTCTTTTATGGGATTAAGCTTTATTCTTTTTGTGCTCTTGTAAATACTTTACTTATTAAATAGTCTCGACTCTTTGGTAAAAAATCTAAAATTATCGAAAATTATCAAAAATTCAAAAATCCGAATTTCTTAAATTTCAACATTTGTTTCTCTCTTTTATAGGATTTAGCTTTATTCTTTTTGTGCTCTTATAAAATACTTTACTTATTTAATAGTCTGGACTCTTTAGTAAAAAAATCTATAATTATCGAAAATTATCAAAAATTCAAAAATGTGAATTTCTTAAAAATGAACATTTATTTCTCTCTTTTATGGGATTAAGCTTTATTCTTTTTGTGCTCTTGTAAATACTTTACTTATTAAATAGTCTCGACTCTTTTGTAAAAAATCTAAAATTATCGAAAAATATCAAAATTTCAAAAATCCGAATTTCTTAAAATTAAACATTTTTTGCTCTCTTTTATGAAATTTAGCTTTATTATTTTTGTGCTCTTATAAAATACTTTACTTATTTAATAGTCTAGACTCTTTGGTAAAAAAATCTAAAATTATCGAAAATTCAAAAATCCGAATTTCTTAAATTTCAACATTTGTTTCTCTCTTTTATAGGATTTAGCTTTATTCTTTTTGTGCTTTTGGAAAATACTTCACTTATTAAATAGTCTCGACTCTTTGGTAGAAAATCTAAAATTAACGGGAATTTTCAAAAATTCAAAAATCCGAATTTCTTAAAATTTAACATTTTTTCCTCTCTTTTATGGAATTTAGCTTCATTATTTTTCTGCTCTTATAAAATACTTTACTTATTTAATAGTCTGGACTCTTTGGTAAAAAAATCTAATATTATCGAAAATTATCAAAAATTCAAAAAAGTGAATTTCTTAAAATTGAACATTTTTTCCTCTCTTTTATGGGATTTAGCTTTATTCTTTTTGTGCTCTTGTAAATACTTTACTTATTAAATAGTCTCGACTCTTTGGTAAAAAATCTAAAATTATCGAAAATTATCAAAAATTCAAAAATCCGAATTTCTTAAATTTCAACATTTGTTTCTCTCTTTTATAGGATTTAGCTTTATTCTTTTTGTGCTCTTGAAAAATACTTCACTTATTAAATAGTCTCGACTCTTTGGTAAACAATCTAAAATTAACGGAAATTTTCAAAAATTCAAAAATCCGAATTTCTTAAAATTCAACATTTTTTCCTCTCTTTTATGGAATTTAGCTTCATTATTTTTGTGCTCTCAGAAAATACTTTACTTATTAAATGGCCTCGACTCTTTTGTAAAAAATCTAAAATTATCGAAAAATATCAAAAATTCAAAAATCCGAATTTCTTAAAATTAAACATTTTTTGCTCTCTTTTATGAAATTTAGCTTTATTATTTTTGTGCTCTTATTAAATACTTTACTTATTTAATAGTCTAGACTCTTTGGTAAACAATCTAAAATTAACGGAAATTTTCAAAAATTCAAAAATCCGAATTTCTTAAAATTCAACATTTTTTCCTCTCTTTTATGGAATTTAGCTTCATTATTTTTGTGCTCTTAGAAAATACTTTACTTATTAAATAGCCTCGACTCTTTTGTAAAAAATCTAAAATTATCGAAAATTATCAAAAATTCAAAAATCCGAATTTCTTAAAATTAAACATTTTTTGCTCTCTTTTATGAAATTTAGCTTTATTATTTTTGTGCTCTTATAAAATACTTTACTTATTTAATAGTCTAGACTCTTTGGTAAAAAAATCTAAAATTATCGATAATTATCAAAAATTCAAAAATCCGAATTTCTTAAATTTCAACATTTGTTTCTCTCTTTTATAGTGTGGTATTTAGTAAATTAATCATAAATTACATTTATATAATTGTTCATGAATGTATTGTATAACTAATAAAAGAATACAGGGCCGCCATGGTGGGGAGACTGACGATAAGACAGTTCTTTTCTACTCGTTGAGCCGAGAGGTTCGGGGCCCGCTGTGTAGTGATTATTATATGTATTGTTCTTGTGTTATTGTGTTTGACCTTACCCTGAGAGAATACCACAATTGGCGACGAGGAAAACCAAGTAAGATTTTAATAAAATTAAATATTAAATTTATCAAAAAAAAAAAAATAAATAAATAAATAAATAAAAAAAAAAAAAAAAATTTAGTGCCTGCAATAAGCTATTAATTTGTTTATGTTTATAACAAATTTGTCCTTGGTGGTATCTCTGTAACTGTAATTGTATGGACAATTGTTCATTAGAAATAAACTAAATAAGATTCCTCTTTCTTCTTTCATACAACAGTATTAATTTTTTTTTTTGCATTCAATATAGAAAATTATTTATATTATAATTATTAATTATTATTAAATTTAACAGTTTAATAAAGAAACAACTATTCGTATTGTAGATCGCTAGCCATGTCTCAAATAGCACCACTTGAACAATTTGATTGCGAGGGAGATTTAAATTCGCTTGGTAGTCGTTGGGAAAAGTGGAAGCGCGGTTTAGAAATTTATTTTCTAGCTGCAAACATCACAGATTCAATTAAAAAAAGGGCTTCTCTTCTTCATACTGGAGGCTTGGCCCTGCAGGATATTTATTTCAATATTCCCGGTGCATGTGTAGAAGAAGGAGACAATGTCGATGTTTACCAAGTAGCTGTTAATAAATTAAACGAATATTTCGCACCAAAACAGAGTAGTCTATTTGAAAGGCACCTATTTAGATTAATGAAACAAGAAGCGGACGAGAAATTTGAAAAATTTTTGTTTAGACTACGCCGTCAGAGTGTCAAATGTAATTTTTCCAATGAGAATGAGAATTTAATTGATCAAATAACTGAGAAATGTCTATCTGTAGAATTAAGAAAGAGGATTCTGTTGTTAGGAGATACAGTTACAGTTGAAAAAATTATTGCAGAGGCAAATGCTCAAGAAACTGTCGAAAGACAGTTATGTGATTTCCAAGACAAACAGAGTCTCAATGTAAATAAAATTGATACATCAAAAAATAAAGGACCTAGTGAAATTCAATCACAATGTACTAGATGCGGCAGTAAATCACATAAAAATGATAGTCCCACCTGTCCCGCCAAAATAAAACCTGTACTAAATGTGGATTTAGAGGTCATTTTTTCAAACAATGCCGTACAACGGCAAATAAGCGTAAATCTAAGCCGATTAAAAATACAACAGATGTAAAAAAGATTCGTCACGAGGACGATAAATTAGATCGGAACATGAAACTGCAGGGCAGTTCAGAGTCAGCAATCGATTATATATTTCACATCGATGACGATGCGACAATTACATGTCAAATAGGTGGAGTAAATCTAGAGATGCTTATAGATTCAGGAAGTAAGTGTAATATTATTTGCGAAAAATCGTGGGATTTTCTAAAGTCGCAAAATTGTAAAGTTAAATCTCAAGATAGAAACCCTGACAAAATATTTATGGCCTATGGAGCGAACGAGCCTTTAACAGTGTTAGGATTATTTGAGGCAGAAATTCGAGTAGGGCTTGAAACTATTTGTGGAAAATTTTATGTGATTAAAAATGGACTGAGAAATTTACTGGGTAAAGATAGTGCAATTGCTCTCAAAGTTTTAAAAATTGGTATTGTTATAAACGCACTAAATGAAGTCCAACTTCCAAAATTTAAAGGCGTTACCCTGGAATTCTCTATCGATGAAACTATTACACCTGTTCGTCAGCCATATAGACGTATTCCTATACCTTTAGAAACTAAAGTAAATAATAAAATTGACGAGTTGGTTGAAATGGACGTCATCGAACCAGTCACGAAGCCGTGTAAATGGGTTTCCCCTATGGTACCAATCTTGAAAGAAAATGGTGATGTACGTATTTGCGTTGACATGCGTTGTCCCAATAAAGCAATAATCAGGAAGAATCACCCAATACCAACTATGCATCAATTATTGCCGAAATTTCGAAAAGCCACAGTTTTCTCTAAATTAGACATTTCCAATGCATTTCATCAAATCGAAATTGATGAAAATTCCCGATATATTACTACATTTATTACAAGTAAAGGTTTGTTCAGATATAAGAGGCTTATGTTTGGGATTACGTGTGCTCCCGAAAATTTCCAAAATATTATGGAAACTATGTTATTAGGATGTGAAGGGGTTGTTAATTTTATTGACGACATCGTTGTCTTTGGCAGTGATGAAAAGGAGCATAGCATGAGACTTAGGCATGTCTTACAAGTTTTAAGAGAAAATAATGTTTTGCTTAATGAAAATAAATGTATATTTAATGCTAAAGAAATCAAGTTTCTTGGGCATAGATTATCTTCAGAAGGAATCAGACCACTAGATAAATATTTAAAGACAATTCAATCATTTCGTGATCCCAAGAATATTGGAGAGATTCAGAGTTTTATTGGTTTGACAAATTTTGTTGGAAAGTGGATCCCTAATTTGGCAACGTTAACAGAACCCATTCGACAAGTATTGAGACAAAAGCTTAATAAACATGCCGACATCACGTGTTTTTGGAAGAAGGAACAAAAACAAGCTTTTGTTGACCTCAAGAAAAGTCTGAGCGAAATTCCGACTTTAGGTTACTATAACCCAAATGATAAGACGCGAATCATAGCGGATGCAAGTCCTGTTGGTTTAGGTGCCATACTTATTCAATTCGATTCAAGTGGACCACGAGTTATTTCATATGGTCATAAAAGTTTAACAGATGTAGAGAAAAGATATTCTCAAACTGAAAAAGAGGCTTTGGCTTTGGTTTGGGCCATGGAACATTTTCACATGTATCTGTATGGTAAAAATGAATTCGAATTGGTTACAGATCACAAGCCGTTAGAGGTAATTTTTAATTCAAGATCAAAGCCATGCGCTCGAATTGAGCGATGGGTTTTAAGACTGCAGGCTTATAATTATAAAGTAGTGTATCAACCTGGGAAAATGAATATTGCTGACCCACTATCGCGTCTTTGTATGACCCCTTATGCTACTCCATTCGATAATGAGCATCACGTAAACCAAATTGTTCAATATGCTCGACAAATTGCTCTGTCCCTAAAAACTATTTCAGATACGTCCCAAACAGATCAAGACTTTCTATTAATCCAAGAAGGACTAACAAACAACAACTGGAATCCGCAAGTAAATAATTACAGATTGTTTGAAAGTGAACTTTGGTTACATGATAATATTCTGTTACGGGGAAATAAAATTGTTATCCCAACAAAGTTAAGAGCACAAGTATTAGCAGCAGCCCATGAAGGACACCCAGGAATTGTGAACATGAAAGCTAGATTACGTACAAAAGTTTGGTGGCCAAAAATTGATAAAGATGCAGAAAACGTAGTAAGAAATTGTAAAGGATGCATATTAGTTTCGGGACCCAATCCACCTACTCCTATGAAAAGAAGAGAATTGCCAACTCAAGCATGGATCGATACAGCCTTAGATTTTCTAGGACCTTTACCTAGTGGAGACTACCTTCTCGTGGTAGTAGACTATTATAGTCGCTACAAGGAAATAAAAGTATTAAGATCAATTACAGCGAAAGAAACAATAAATTCCTTAAAAGAAATGTTTGCCCGACTTGGTTTTCCAGCTACTGTAACCTGCGACAATGGTAAACAGTTTACCAGTAATGAATTTAAATCATTTTGTGATGAGTTAGGCATCCGAATTTTTAGTACAATTCCCTACTGGCCTCAACAAAATGGGGAAGTCGAAAGACAAAATAGGGATATATTAAAAAGATTGAAAATTAGTCAAATTCAAAAATCTGATTGGAAAGACGACCTTCTTACATACCTAATGATGTACAATAGCACTCCACATGCAACAACGGGTCGAACACCTTCAGAATTGTTTTACAGACGTCAATTTAGAGACAAATTGCCAAGCTTAATAAATATTGAAAATAAAGAAACGGATCAAGAAGTAAGAGATAGAGACATTCAGAAAAAATTATACGGAAAAATTAATGAAGATAGAAAGAGGAAAGCAAAAGAACAAAGTGTAGAACCCGGACAAAAAGTTTATGTGCAAAATTTTCAAAAACAGAATAAATTAACACCCAATTTTCATCCTGAACCACACACCGTTATTGGTTCTGAAGGAAATGAGGTACATGTTCGCAACGACTCTACTGGTCAAGAATTTAAAAGAAATGTTATTCATCTCAAACGTGTGGAAGGAAATTGGGAGGTGATACAAGATTAATAAAAAAAAAAAAAAAAAAAAAAAAAAAAAAAAAAAAAAGAAGAAGAAAAGAAGAAACACTACCAAAACAGGAAAATTGTTAAAATAATTGTTTTGACTTCACATTAGTCTCTAATAGTTAATTGTTTATTATTAAAAAAAAAAAAAAAAAAAAAAAAAAAAAATATTAATGCGTCAAATGTTACTAAAAACTAAGTTTCAGAATGTACTACGAAAATATTGAAGTATTATATCTTATTACTACGAATTAATCAACTAGTTTATAATGTTAAAAAAAAAAAAAAAAAAAAAAAAAAAAAAAAAAATTTGTAAAATGGAAGGGATGTGGTATTTAGTAAATTAATCATAAATTACATTTATATAATTGTTCATGAATGTATTGTATAACTAATAAAAAAATACAGGGCCGCCATGGTGGGGAGACTGACGATAAGACAGTTCTTTTCTACTCGTTGAGCCGAGAGGTTCGGGGCCCGCTGTGTAGTGATTATTATATGTATTGTTCTTGTGTTATTGTGTTTGACCTTACCCTGAGAGAATACCACATATAGGATTTAGCTTTATTCCTTTTGTGCTCTTGGAAAATACTTCACCTATTAAATAGTCTCGACTCTTTGGTAGAAAATCTAAAATTAACGGAAATTTTCAAAAATTCAAAAATCCGAATTTCTTAAAATTCAACATTTTTTCTTTTTTTTATGGGATTTAGCTATATTATTTTTGGGCTATTGGAAAATAATTTACTTATTAAATAGTCTCGACTCTTTGGTAAAAAGTCTAAAATTATCGAAAATTATCAAAAATTGAAAAATGTGAATTTCTTAAAATTGAACATTTTTTCCTCTCTTTTATGGGATTTAGCTTTATTCTTTTTGTGCTCTTAGAAAATACTTTACTTATTAAATAGCCTCGACTCTTTTGTAAAAAATCTAAAATTATCGAAAATTATCAAAAATTCAAAAATCCTTAATTTCTTAAAATTAAACATTTTTTGCTCTCTTTTATGAAATTTAGCTTTATTATTTTTGTGCTCTTAAAAATTACTTTACTTATTAAATAGTTTAGACTCTTTGGTAAAAAATCTAAAATTATCTGAGATTTTTAAAAATTAAAAAATGCTAATTTCTTAATATTCAACATTTTTTTCTCTCTTTTACGGGATTTAGCTTTATTTTTGTTTGTGCTCTAATCATATATATTATATATTATATCATATATTATATCATTAAAATATATTTATTATATATTATAAAAAAATATTTTAAATATATTATACATAAATATATAATATATTTAATAAATATAATAAATAATAATTATAATTATAATTATAATTATTAATAATAATTAATATATATTAATTATTATAATTAATATAAATTGTAATTAATTTAATAATAATATAAAATTAAATTAAATAAAAATAATAATAATATTATTATAATTTATTAAATTATTTATTAATTATTTATTAATAATTAATTTATTAATTTATTAATTAATTTTATTATTTTATAATTAAATTATTATTATTTTTTATATTTTAATATTTTATTATTAAAATATTAATAATAATATTAATTATTATAAATAATTATAATTTTAATATTATCAATTATTATTAATTATTATTAATTTATCATTTTATTAATAATTATTAATATATTATATTTATATATATTATATATATTTAAAAATTATTTATTAATTATTTATATAATATTATAATATATTACAATATTTTCATTATATATTATATATTAAGCGGTTGCCATAGAATCGTTTTATGAGGGAATTTCAAAAAAAAATTTTAACCTGGGACCCATTGCATTACATTTTAAGGACCTTAAATTGTAAGAAATCGTCTAAATCTAAAAATCGATTTTTTGGTCCTAAGGTTTTTTTCTTAGACGCGGTCACAAATGACCTCAACGTTGACAATCGAAACACCGTACGGAATTTTTGGGGTTTATTTTCTCCCACCATACAATTTGGTTGACTAGTCTAGAAATCTTCGTTAGTTCTTTACTGTCACTATTACTGGAGACTCCGACAAGGAATGCATCCCTACCTGTGTATGCTTTAAAAAAATCTTTTTAGTTCACTTTTTAATGTTTTTTATATCTACATTTTTTAATTTTAATAAATTTAATTCTGAAAGGATAGCTTCCCTCGTAGTCTTCCGAAATGCCTTTTAGGATCCTTGTTATAACTCTTTTTTCTTTAGGTGTTTTAGAATGGAATTCTATGTTATATCTTAAACTTTTTAAAATCATCATAAGAATTTACATAAAGAGTTAATTTGTTTTCGGCGAGACTTTCGAATATGAAACTCTGTATATTTATTGTTTTTATTTAACCCCTTGACTGCCGATGGCAAAGATCTTTGCCATTTCGGACTTTGCTCTGACTGCCGGAAAACTGACAATCTTTGCCATGATAAAAATTGATGTAAAGAAGTCAAAATTGGCTGAAAATTAAAAATAAAATGATTTCTAAAAAGTCTATGCAAAAAAAAAAAAAAAAAAAAAAAAAATTCTAAAATTCTAAAAATTCTATGCAGAATGCGACGCACGTTTCTGTTTTTAAATTCAATGAATTATAAAAATGTTATAAATTTTTAAAAACAACACTTTTAGCAAATTTTTCAAAATCTTTGCCATGGAAAATATAATGCATTTTTATTTGAAAAATGTCTAAAATCGCCTGAAATTTGTTACTCGGGGGTTGTTGGGGTCGCTGATTAGAAATATGATGTCAGTATTTCAAAATTCAAAATGGCGGATCTAATATGGAGGATGACTTTTTTAAAAATTGATCCAATTTACCTGAAATTTGTTACTCGGGGGTTTTTGACAAATATGATTACAAATATGATGTCGGTTTTTCAAAATTCAAAATGGCGGATCCAATATAGCGAATAACTTTTTTAAAAATTGATCCATTTTGAATTTTGAAAAACTGACATAGAAATCGTCATCAGCGACCCCAAAAATCCCCGAGTGACAAGTTTCAAGCGAATACAAAATTAAAAAAAAAAATTTCCACAATATTGGATCCGCAATTTTTAATTTTTAAAAACTGACATCATACTCGTAATCAGCGACCTCGAAAACCCCCGAGTAACAAATTTCAGGTAATTTGGATTAATTTTTAAAAATCCGTCCGCCATTTTGAATTCTGAAATACCGACATCAGATTCGTAATCAGCGACCCCGAAAACCCCTGAGTAACAAGTTTCAGACAAATTGGACGATTTTTTATTCTTGGCATTCTGGGCACATTTAGTGTTTTTCAGCCGGCAGTTAAGGGGTTAATATATATTAGTAATAAATATTACCTTGAGATTTTTTATAATAAATGGTGGTAAGTTGGATCTAAATTTACTCTTTGCGATCGTTGTTCCCTCAGGTGATCACCGTTTCTTGTTATTAGTTGTTCTATCCTGGATCATTGGAGTTATTTTATTTCCCTCATTCATAGTATTCATCTCATTTTCGTATTCTCTGATTCATCTTTGTCAATGTTAGTTGTGTTTTCACTGTTTTTTTTTTGCTTAGGGAATTTTGGGAAATCTGCCTACAGATACCTTGGATTCCGCGCTCCAAGGTTATGTGGGGTTGGTATGATAAAACAAAAGGAATTAAAAAAAAAGAAAAATAAATCTATAAAAAATTAAATTTAATACACATATTGTATTAAATTTCTATATAATATACATGAGTGTTAAATTTCAGTGCTTAGTGTATATCAAAATTACGAACATTTTAAACAGTATACACTAGAATGAATCTATAAGGTAGGGGAGACTAGGTGCGGTTGTTACGCTGTGCAGTTTGTTACAAATGGAATTTCTCAGAAACAGTGAATTATAAAGATGGGGTTCCAACGGGAAAAAAGTTTAGTTTTTATGTACGAACTTGCTGCAATATGTTCAAAAATTATATGCAAGCTTTAAAAGTTAGAAAATATGCACATTGGTATCTAGAGGACAAAAGTAAATATTTCTCTGCTTGATATTTTTTAAATAATTAATAGACCGCTTTATACTTGACAAAGTAAATTTTTTAATATCAATTCTATGTCAAAAATTATGAATAATTAATAAAAATTGTTTTAAAAAATTATTTGTCTTTAATTTAGAAATGTTATATATGATTCTTGGTATTGTAACAACCGACATTCACTTTGTGCAGTTGTTACAATTTACACGCTGTCACTCAAATGCGTCATAAATAATGGATAATAATAATAATGGATAATAATAATGCGTCATAATAATGGATATAGATCTTAATCAATTATGGCCTTATAAAACTACATAATATTAAGCAAAAACAACACAAAAGACAATTGAAGCCTTTTAAACTATCCAATGTTAAACTATGCTAATGCTATACTATTGACTTACCATTGGTCATAATAACAAACAAATGTGATGAAGAAGAACATATATATGGGCAAATCCACAGAACTGGTAGATTTTCGCTTATAAAGATAAAAAATTTTAATTTGCAAGCACACCTATCATTTATGGTTTATTTTTCTTGAAATTTATTTGAGAACAATTATCACCTTGCGTGATTAGATTTATTAAAATGCCGTCAAAGTTACAAACCAAAAACGAAAACAAAATTTTTGTTAAGGAAATCAAAGTTAAAAATGCATTTTATTCTATATATTATTGTAATTTTTACAAAATATTTTAAATCAAAGTACACTAAGAAGTAATAATATTAATAAAAATAGAATTGTTCTTTTCTTAAATTAATCTTTCGTTTTAAAACATTATTTTTGTTTTTTTAATACTCTATTCTTCTTTGTCCCAACTTTTTTATTTGTGTAATTTTAACGAATTTTTAGTTTTTAAACTTGTCTTCTTTTAGAAGCAGGAGTAGCAGGGTTTTTTAGTTTGTTAACTTTTTTCTGTTAGAAGCAGGAGTTGCAGGAGCACCAGGAGACGCAGAAGTCGTGGGAGCATCAGGAGTTGCAGCAATAGTAGGATACGCAGGATTATTTCGTTTGTTAACTTTTCTTCTGTTAGAAGCAGGAGTCGAGGAAGCATCAGGAGTAGCAGGAGTCGTAGGAGCATCAGGAGAAGCAGGAGTCGCAGCAATAGTAGGATACGTTGGATTACTTCGTTTGTGAACTTTTTTTCTGTTAGAAGAAGGAGTCGCAGCAGGATTATTTTGTTTCTTAACTTTATTTCTGTTAGCAGCAGGAGTCGCAGGAGGCGCAGCAGGATTTTTTCGTTTGTTAACTTTATTTCTGTTAGCAGCAGGAGTCGCAAGAGCAACAGGAGTCGCAGCAGGATTATTTCGTTTGTTAACTTTTTTTCTGTTAGAAGCAGGAGTCGCAGGAGCATCAGGTGACGCAGAAGTCGTAGGAGTATCAGGAGAAGCAGGAGTCGCTGCAATAGTAGGATACGTAGGATTATTTCGTTTGTTAACTTTTTTTCTGTTAGAAGCAGGAGTCGTAGGAGCATCAAGAGAAGCAGGAGTCGCAGCAATAGTAGGATACGTTGGATTACTTCGTTTGTGAACTTTTTTTCTGTTAGAAGAAGGAGTCGCAGGAGCATCAGGAGTCGCAGCAGGATTATTTTGTTTCTTAACTTTATTTCTGTTAGCAGCAGGAGTCGCAGGAGCATCAGGCGACGCAAAAGTCGAAGGAGCATCAGGAGAAGCAAGAGTCGCAGCAGTATCAGTAGACGCAGGATTATTTCGTTTGTTAACTTTATTTCTGTTAGCAGCAGGAGACGCAAAAGTCGTAGGAGCAGGAGTCGAAGGAGCATCAGGAGTAGCATGAGTCGTAGGAGCATCAGGAGAAGCAGGAGTCGCAGCAATAGTAGGATTACTTCGTTTGTTAATTTTTTTTCTGTTAGAAGAAGGTGTCGCAGGAGCTTCAGGAGTCGCAGCAGGGCTATTTCGTTTGTTAACTTTATTTCTGTTAGCAGCAGGAGTCGCAAGAGCATCAGGTGTCGCAGCAGGATTATTTTGTTTCTTAACTTTATTTCTGTTAGCAGCAGGAGTCGCAGGAGCATCAGGCGACGCAAAAGTCGAAGGAGCATCAGGAGAAGCAAGAGTCGCAGGATTATTTCGTTTGTTAACTTTATTTCTGTTAGCAGCAGGAGACGCAAAAGTCGTAGGAGCAGGAGTCGAAGGAGCATCAGGAGTAGCATGAGTCGTAGGAGCATCAGGAGAAGCAGGAGTCGCAGCAATAGTAGTATACGTAGGATTACTTCGTTTGTTAACTTTTTTTCTCTTAGAAGAAGGAGTCGCAGGAGCATCAGGAGACGCAAAAGTCGTAGGAGCAGGAGTCGAGGGAGCATCAGGAGTAGCAGGAGTCGTAGGAGCATCAGGAGAAGCAGGAGTCGCAGCAATAGTAGTATACGTAGGATTACTTCGTTTGTTAACTTTTTTTCTTTTAGAAGAAGGAGTCGCAGGAGGCGCAGCAGGATTATTTCGTTTGTTAACTTTATTTCTGTTAGCAGCAGGAGTCGCAAGAGCAACAGGAGTCGCAGCAGGATTATTTTGTTTGTTAACTGTTTTTCTGTTAGAAGCAGGAGTCGCAGGAGCATCAGGTGACGCAGAAGTCGTAGGAGTATCAGGAGAAGCAGGAGTCGCTGCAATAGTAGGATACGTAGGATTATTTCGTTTGTTAACTTTTTTTCTGTTAGAAGCAGGTGTCGCAGGAGCATCAGGTGTAGCAGGAGTGTCATCAATCGCAAAAGTTTTTTGTTTATTAGCTTTTCTTCTGTTAGAAGCAGGAGTCGTAGGAGCATCAAGAGAAGCAGGAGTCGCAGCAATAGTAGGATACGTTGGATTACTTCGTTTGTGAACTTTTTTTCTGTTAGAAGAAGGAGTCGCAGGAGCATCAGGAGTCGCAGCAGGATTATTTTGTTTCTTAACTTTATTTCTGTTAGCAGCAGGAGTCGCAGGAGCATCAGGCGACGCAAAAGTCGAAGGAGCATCAGGAGAAGCAAGAGTCGCAGCAGTATCAGTAGACGCAGGATTATTTCGTTTGTTAACTTTATTTCTGTTAGCAGCAGGAGACGCAAAAGTCGTAGGAGCAGGAGTCGAAGGAGCATCAGGAGTAGCATGAGTCGTAGGAGCATCAGGAGAAGCAGGAGTCGCAGCAATAGTAGTATACGTAGGATTACTTCGTTTGTTAACTTTTTTTCTTTTAGAAGAAGGAGTCGCAGGAGCATCAGGAGACGCAAAAGTCGTAGGAGCAGGAGTCGAGGGAGCATCAGGAGTAGCAGGAGTCGTAGGAGCATCAGGAGAAGCAGGAGTCGCAGCAATAGTAGTATACGTAGGATTACTTCGTTTGTTAACTTTTTTTCTCTTAGAAGAAGGAGTCGCAGGAGGCGCAGCAGGATTATTTCGTTTGTTAACTTTATTTCTGTTAGCAGCAGGAGTCGCAAGAGCAACAGGAGTCGCAGCAGGATTATTTCGTTTGTTAACTGTTTTTCTGTTAGAAGCAGGAGTCGCAGGAGCATCAGGTGACGCAGAAGTCGTAGGAGTATCAGGAGAAGCAGGAGTCACTCTAATAGTAGGATACGTAGGATTATTTCGTTTGTTAACTTTTTTTCTGTTAGAAGCAGGTGTCGCAGGAGCATCAGGTGTAGCAGGAGTGTCATCAATCGCAAAAGTTTTTTGTTTATTAGCTTTTCTTCTGTTAGAAGCAGGAGTCACAGGATTTTTTGGTTTATTAACTATTCTTCTGTTAGAAGCAGCAGTAGCAGGAGTCTTTTTCTTTTCCTCAAAAGAGCAACTATTTGGAGTTAAAGAAAAATGGCAACATGGATGACTATAAAGGCCATTATTCACACAATACGAACAAGTTAAATAATTTAAAAAGAGACTTTTTTCCTTTTGTTGAGACCAAAGAATTTGGAAAATCTTAGTGGTGTTTGGAATAGCTTGAATTTGTGGTTCCACTAGTGAATCCATTTTTTCCATATTGGTTTCAAGTATTTTAAAGGCTCGAATTTTTTGTGATTCCAAAGAATTTATAATATTTATCATTGATTCTGCAGTAACGATATCCTTTCCTTGTGCCACTGCTCTATCACATAGTCCCTTTACTGTGCCTCCAATTCCATCTGCAGTGCTTTTTCCATGTCCAGGCGATGAGAAATTCCACGTAGCATGTTTTAAATTCAACTCCTTGCAGTGATGTCGAAACAAAAAAAAATTTGTTTTGTTTCTGTATTGGGTTGAAGGCCCGTCACTTTGAAAGTGTAGTGCAGAAAAATTAGGAACTTTTTCTTCAATTAATTTCAAAATTGGTTCCAAATGTGCCCACACTGATGCTGCATCATGCCTTAAACATTCAGAAATAGTGCAAAACGAATTGCACAGTACTTTTCCGGAAGATTCATCCAGATAATAAAACGCACCAGTGTGTAGAGATAGTTGTTTTTTGGATGCACCAAAATGCGCGCTTTGTATTTCATTATTATATTTACAAATATAATTTTGCGAAAAATCGATAACGATGTAAACTTCGTTTTGTTGTAGATTGTTTTGGATATTTTCTAGAGCCCTGAATTGATGACCAGTAACGAACACGTGATGCAAATAATGTGGAATAGCTGAATTTACTGCTTCTACAAATTCCTTTACAGTGCAGTTGATTCTTTCTTTTGACGTTATTTTAACGTTGTAAGTGAGCCCTTTTGCTCCTAATCTACTAACGTTTTTAGTCTCCCACTTGAAATACCACGTAGAATCATCATTTTCTTCTACCGTCAAATTTTTTACTGCACAGTCCTTGCAATTTCCATAAAAACAGTCTTTATTTTCGACATTACAAACTAATGATTCCACAAATGATAACGACGAATTGCTAGTCAAAAGATGCAAGGAATGCAATCTTTTTATCATAAAAGCCATATTGGTGTGATCTTTGCATAAACATGTATCACGACCAGTGACTTCATGTTTAACAATCCAAAACGGTTTCGACTTATAAAACGATCCTCTAGAAATTTTAACTGATTCCTGTTTTTCAAATTTTTTGTATAAATTGTCCATTGAATCTAATAAAAACCTCTTTCTTTTAGCAACTTTATTTTTCGTAATCGTATCTTTCACTCCTGGAGCCATAACCGAATTTTCATCTTTTTCTTAAAATTTTTGAACGCGTTCCAGTATTTGTGCTTTTGTAGCAATTTTTTTAGTACGAGACTTTTCAAAATTAAGTGATTTCGAGTTTGCGTATTTCTTTTGAGTCTTTGTAGAGACTAAGTGTTTCATGCTATTCATGAGTCTGTATTTCTTTAACACTTTGCCTGCTAAACATTGTGAGAAAACTGATCGTTCTTTCTCGCCCTTCAATGACAATTGTTTTTCTTTTAATTGTTGAATAAATGCCTCATGAAGGAACAATTTTTTTCTAATTTCCTTGGACCCTTTATGCTCAATTTTCTTAACGCTTTTTAGGACATTATCTTCATTTTTATTTAGTAACCTATGATATTTCATTTTCCATTTACTTATCGTTGCATTTTTCCTCTTTATAACTTCATTCAGTTTTTTATTTTCGCGACGTAATTTTTCTTCTCTAGCTCTTGTAAGTTTGATTGTTTTATTTAGGCGTTCAATAATATTTTGCTTCTTATTTTTGTAAGACTTCGTCCTATCGAGATCAGGATTTGATATGATTCTATAATAAACAAATAGTAAACTTTTTATAATAAGAAAAAAAATTATGTTTTGAAAACTAATTATTTTATATAAATGTCAAGAAAGATTAAAAAAAATTTAATTTTTATTTATAATATTTGTTTTTCATAATTTTAAGAAAATTAAATGAACTTACAGCTTATTTGAATCATTTTGACTCTCATATTGACAAGAGTGTTCTCCATTTTCATTAAATGAGTGATCTTTCGAAACTTGTACTTTTAAATTATTCGTGTTTTCAGGATTAACATTTACTGCTTCACAATTTTTTGCAATTTCACTGTCAGGTTCTATTAATCCCTCATTAATATTTTTATTTAATTTTCGTCTTTTACTCAACGGTTCTTCAATATCAACATTTGATGGTGATTTTTCAACAATATCGTTTCTAAAGAGTTCAAAAGTTTATTGTAATTGGAAAATTTCACTATTTTTTTCTAATGATAAGAAATATTTACAATTTCTTCAAAATTAATTTTATTTTATCTACTTTCATTGCAAATTTAAATAAACTTACAAAGTGTTTGAGTTATTCTTCATTTTTTCTATTCGCTTTTCATCGTGATATTTTCTTTTGCGATGCAGTTCCTGAACTCGAAACGCAGCAAGACTCTCACGCTTCTTACGTTGTTGCTCCCTTTTCAATAACAATTTTTCTCCTTCTGTCATCTCCACTAATTCATCAGCTTTTAAAGTAAAAATATATTACAAATATGATTCTGTGCTAATATGCAAAATTTCCCCGAATATTTTAATTTACAAAACTATTTACTTACTCATTCTGTTATCTGTTTTTTATTGTAGGTTAAATTATTTTAATAATTATTTCAACTAAAAAACTAACACTGACACTGATATTAGTACAAGTTTGAAAATAGAACAAATGAAAGGTTATTTTATTTTTCATATTGATTAATACCTTCATGATGAACCAGTTAAATTTCTATTAATTATTAGTTATTTTTAATTTTTAGACATTATAAATTGAAAATATAATTTGGCGTTTATGTATAAGAATTATAATAATGCCTTTAAATAATCACACATGTTTTCAACTTATTATATTTTCTCCTGTATTTGTGCTACTAAAAAAAGGCTAAGTTTAAAATCGTTCACGATCAAACATTGAGTGATAATTATTGTAATATTTTCTTTAATTCTTATAGCACATTATTTTATGATACCTAGATTTGTTTGTCTATTGCAGAGAAATAAGCACCAATTTAAAAAATTCAAATCGAATCACCGCCGTAAAAGATATTTAAAAAAATGTATAGGCGATTCATTATTTTAAAATAATGAGTAACGCAACTTTCAACGACTACCATTTCTTTTTAATTGAGAGCACATATTTTTTTATGCTTTCAATATATTCTACAATAAGTAAACTATAATCTCCCATCGTTTGGAATTGTTTCGATCTATGCCAAACAAGATATACTAAAAAGAATTGAAATTTATACCTAGAGTAACACGGCAAATTTCATTTTTTAAGTTACTTAACTCTATTTTACTATTTATTTTAGGCAAGAAGGTTTCCATTTATTCAATTTTCTTAGTTTAATAGGTTCTCATAGATATTATAGAATGGTAGAAAAATGAAAATTATTAATATAATACTTTTAAAATAGAAAAATCTGTGTGTAACATGAAATCGAACGGTTCTGTGGATTCGCCCATATATACTTTAAAATCTAAAAACATAAGTTGTTATAAAGAAACATTACGCTTCCAAAATTTTAATATATTTCTGATGAATATTCGATTGCTTCTGGAGATTTATTAATATTATGCGTCAGATGGTTTTTGCTTTTGTTCATTTGCGTAGGTAGACAAGCAATGGAGTAATGATAATGTTCCAGCGATACTCGAAAGCATGTTAACATTATTCGATTGCAAGTATAGGTTCCTTATGGTTTAAGCATTGCTCGTGGTACATATCTCGCTACACAAATAACACACACTATCTGTGGTGACATTATATGGATTATAATCCAAATGCTTTTCAACCTCTGCATCACCCTCGCGATTAGAATTAGTCAGACAGTTATGTAGAAAAGTCATGTAAGTTGTAAACCTTAAAAGCAAACGAGAGAATAGTGTCTAATTGCATCAGTAATAATCGTTTGTCTTTCTCATGTGTGTAAGCCTAATAGTCATTGGATTTTTTAATTTCGAATTTATTTGCAACCGGTGACAATATACGTATGGGGCATTCCACACCAAGTCGGAAATAATTTTGATTTTGCATCTCAAATTTTTTTTAAACATTTTTTTTTCTTTTAATACTCTTTGAAATGAGCTACCTTGATTTTTTTCAAAAATTTTCATAAAGCGGTTCAGGAGATACAGATTTTTGAAAAATGACGTTTTTTACGTAAATTTTTGTTTTAAATGCTTATAACTCGGTCAAAAATTGATCAAATTGGACGTTTTCATAATGAAAAGTTTTGTTTTTACACGTAGTTTTTAATAAAAATATTTAAAAAATTTTTTTTAATAATTTACGATAAGATTTTTAAATTTTTTAAATAAAATTTCATTTTTAACAATGTATGTATCGATTAATTTCTTTCAAAATTTTTTGTAAGAAACTAGCACTGAATTACCAATTTTTAAGCCTTGTCCGATTGTGGGCAAACGATGGGATCTATTTATTTTGAAATTTTTAATTTTTATATACTAAGTCTCTACAAACTTACCCTTCTTTCTGTGTAAAATTGTGATTTGGTCAAATGGCAAGTTAGGCCTACCGTTTTTACTGTGTATATACAAAGTAAAAACTTAAAACTAAATAGATCCTATCGTTTGCCCACAATCGGACAAGGCTTAAAAATTGTTAATTTAGTGCTAGTTTCTTACAAAAAATTTTGAAAAAAATTGATCGATACAAACATTGTCAAAAATTAAATTTTATTTAAAAAATTTTAAAATCTTATCGTAAATTATTTAAAAAAATTTTTTAAATATTTTTATTAAAAACTACTTGTAAAAACAAAACTTTTCATTATGAAAACGTCCAGTTTAATCAATTTTTGACCGAGTTATAAGCATTTAAAACAAAAATTTACGTAAAAAACGTCATTTTTCAAAAATCTGTATCTCCTGAACCGCTTTATGAAAAAATTTGAAAAAAATCAAGGTAGCTCGTTTCAAAGAGTACTAAAAGAAAAAAAATGTTTAAAAAAAATTTGAGATGCAAAAGCAAAATGATTTCCGACTTGGCGTGGAATGCCCCATATACTATGCTTAGGTATAAAGGTAGAGACTTTGATATTCATTTAAATTATCAAGAAACCTTTCTTTTAGTAGGTATAGTAATTTTTCTCTATATATATATATAGTTAACAATAAAATAATATTGGCAAACAATATTTTTAAAGCCGAGCAAGAATGATTATCATTATAATGATAATTCATGATATAAAATAAAAATTTCCTGGCTGAAGAACCCTTCTTTCATCGTATAATGCGCAAATGTGATTATATATACGGGACGTAAAAAGGCGTTTAAAAAAAGAAGAATAGAAAACGAACCAGTTTGCTTTGACATTGCAATTCATATGCAGCTCGTGCGACCAACGACTACATTCGTCACATGTGCCGCACCACAGAGCTCTATATGTATATTACTTCCGTTCAAAATATGCACATCGTTCATATGTGTTCAGAGTGTATGTGAACCTTTCTTAGGACCTGCACTTTTACCTGCGTGAAGAAAACGAACTTCACCCCTTTCACTTAAACTGACTCCTCCTTCTATCATCCTTCTCAATTTAAATGCACCGAGATTACCTCATTTGTAAGGATAAAAAAATAAATAAAAGAATGAAAGTACCTGTCCCAGCCGATGTTTCAAATCCCGAAAACAGACGTTACGCTACCAAGGTTGAATTCATTCACTCTTTTATTCTCATAGTTTGATAAAAGTTCATTACCTTTCAAGTTCATTTTTTGTAACAAAAATTTGTAGAGTACAAAAATTACTAGTTTTCTTTTAAGAAAAAAGAGTAATCTTTATAATACTAAAACGGAAACTCAATCCAAGAAGAAAACTTCTTTTTATTACTTCCTCATAGAGGAAGTATTGTAATACCAAAATTTTTCGAGTTCGATTTTTTGACATATCTTTATGTTATTTGACCTCAGGAGTTCAAAAATGACATTTTTAAAAAATGGCATTCCGTATGTGTGTGTGTGTATGTATGTGTAAACATCACATTTTGATAAATATCTCGAAATCATGAAGAGCTTATGGGTTGAATTTTTTTAAAATTGTAGATCTCACCTGCGGACATAAAGTGAGAGTACTTTCTGATATATTAATAAAGTTTAACTAAATTTTTTTTTATTTTTAATTTTGCAAAAAAACGTTTTTTGACCATAACTAAAAAAATGTTTAGAGACCTATAAATGTTTTTCCATAATTCTGTAGAGTTTTTTTAGACGCATCTTTTGGGCCCTAATTGAACATTTTTCGTCCATATTAACCAAAGTTATTAAACTTTTAAAAATCAAAAATTTTGGAAAATAAGACTTTTTTGAAAATTTTGTTGAAAAACGTAGAAGTAACTTTAAAATTATCGTTATCAACTTGTAGAGCATTAAAAACACTTCGATTGACCTATTTTTGAACCTAATTCGATAATAAATTTCGAAATTATTAATATTTTAAAAACCAAAAAATGGAAAAAAAGGCATTTTCTCAACTTTTTTGTTTGAAAATTTTTGCTTAACTATTAAATTATTGTAACTATCTTGTAGGGTATTTAAAAATACATTGATTGACTCAAAATTCAATCACTTTTACCATATTTATAAAAAGTTATTCTTATATTTCTATTATTTTTATCTCCATGAGGAAGTAAAGTGTTCATGAAATGAGCACCAAAATTATAAAAAAAATATACAACTTGGCAGCAGTTTTATATAATTCTTCTCTTAAAAATAATAAACTGACTTTTTTGTCTAACAAGTTGTCTAACAAATAAACAACTTTTCTTCTAATTTGACGGAGAGTACTATTTTAGATAGCTAATAAAGTGTCTGCTCAAAATCGGATTACATGAGTGCACGATTTGAGAATGCAATATATTAATACTATAAATGGATGTAATTTATATGAATAAAAATTCAAATATAGAAAATATGATGTTCAAATGTCTTATGTTAAGCAATTGTCCTGATTTCAAATCGAATAAAGGGAGCTGCATTTTTTCCCTCGATGACAACGACGAGCGACGAAAAGGCGTTTTAGCCATCAAGTCTTGTAATGTTAGACATTGAGCGATGCACAGAGACGAGCGATTGTGTTCGCAGATTTTACTCAGACGGGAATTGTTCTAAAATTAGGACAAGGCGATACTTATATGCTCGAAAGATCAACGCTTATGTGTAGTAAGACTGATTGTCCTCCCTTTATTCGTTCAGCGACCTTCGTCTCGACTGAGTTCAATGCAAAACGAGGCAAAACTTTTGGGTTTCGCCAATTCACAGGATTGTCTAACTAAATCTCTATATTTCTCTCCCTCTCTTTTTAGATCTCTCCTTCCCTCATTTCACGAAAATAGCAAAAGCAAATACGCCAACTTTCACTGGAAACATTAGTATTGTCATTATATCGGTCTTCCAAGCCATCCTCCTTACTGATTAATGGACCCTTTATAAAGCTTTATACACCAGTAATAAATTTATACTGTTATATTAAATATAGACATGAAAAGTCACTTTTTCTTTGGCTAAATTTATATTTATTGTCCCAGCGGCTAATAATTTTTTAT